ATTATGTAAATAAAATATGCAAATGCTCGTGAATGGTATTTTTAAGGGAGTCCAACATAAATTAAATTCATAATCATTAATGTCCAAATCTAAAAATGTGAAGGCAAATTTTTTTTTTTAATGTTTTGAAGTAATATTTATGTGACAATATTATTATGTATTCCATTTTATGGATCAAATTATGTTTTCATTTTCATTATTTATTGATATAAAATATATTTTCTTTAACAGGTCCGATCATATTACCTGGTAATATTAATGAGTCGATTTCGGGTTGAGTCATATTACCCTTTTACTTTAACAGGCGTTACACGATACGACTCATTAAGATATCGAGTATATGACGAAAATGACACGAACACGAAAAACACGACACAAATGTCAGGTCTAGTGCTCCTCAGTAAGGAAGAACCTTTATTAAAGGGAAACAGCATGGGTGCATCCACACCCTTTTTACTTCTCACACACTTTTCTAATTTTTGGCTGTCGAATTGGATGAATTAAAGAATATCAGATGACAGAATTTAACAAAAAGTATGTGAAAAATAAAAATAGATGCGTGCGGATAATACACCCAAGAACATAAAGCTGTTGACCTAAAATTGTGAATTTCTTCGTTCACCATTCATGTTAACACAGCACACAACTTGTGTGGTTTTACTCTAGACTTGTAACTCCTGCATGCTGTGTGACGTGTGCTATGAAACATCCAATCAAATCCTACTTTTTAAAAATCCAAACTTTTGGTGCGGTGATTTTTTCATGTATATTTGTGTTCGTTCTGAACTTTTATTTGTTAATTTCAAAACTATGAGGTCATATATCGTAGTTACCATGTCATTTGATAATTAAATTGCACTGTTCTTTTTTATTCAAAGTGGACAAATAAATACTACTAATCCAGTAACTAATTGATGACTGAAGATGGAAAAAATATACACATACCTTAACATTTCCGGCTTCCTTGATAGCTTGAACAAGCTTGAGCTGCAACAAAATGTTGTGACTCCTAAAATGCACCCCGGACATGGTACAAATGACAACGTCGACAAGCTTGACAGCACGAACAAGGCTTTGGAGATCAGAAAAGGAGCCCTCCACAAGGTGAGCCCCTTGCTTTTTGAAGGACAAGAGCATCTGCAGCTTCTCAATATCAAGGCCAATCTCTGGCCTTTGAAGGACATAGGTTGGGTGACCTAGGGCTAGGCTTGCCTTAACAATCCTTCGTCCTACGTACCCAGTACAACCTACCACAAGAACCTTGCTCATTCCCATGTCTACCAAATGTTATTGGGATGCTTCTTTTTGCCTCTTGCTTTGTTTGTTTGTCATGAAGGCAAGACTAGCTCTATATATAATAGTAGTCGAGAACCCCTGCAGGTATACTGTTCCATTTCCTTCCTGCAGACAATAGTTGACATGCAACCTAGCCTAGACTTTTACTTTGTTGTAAAAGTCACTCCATATCATTTCATTAGTTGGTGGGGATCTGGCAAGCCTGATCAATAAATTTATCTATACTAAAACTCAGTTTGGCTGGTACTGTTTTTCGCTGTTCATGAACAGTAAAAGGACGGAAATGCCCTTTCTTTCTTCTCACTCCCATGCTTTGTTGTTTGTTTTTTTGTACAGTCAAATTCCGAATTTGTCCTTTGTATTCATCCGTTCCTTCATCTGTAGGTCTTTTCTTAATTTTTAAGTCTATGTATTGCTGGTAGGAAGACAAAAAAAATATATTAAAAAACTGTTATTAAAACCGGGCCACATGGTTTGTGGCACGACAAAGGATAAAAATTTTATACCTTCTTAATTTTTTAAATGCATGTATATCTGGTGGGAAGATAAAAAAAAAATGTGATTAAAACAGGGCCACATGATTTGTGGCACAACAAACAATAAAAATTTATATCCGGCCACATGTCAGTCATCGCCCGAAGGTAGTAACTCTACTTTTCTTCTTCTTTCTTACGTTTTCCTTTATATTTTGGAGGTAAATCGTTTGCCCTTCCATTTCCATACTCTTTATGGTCACGATTAAATTACGTCAACATTTATATTAATTTTTTTACAAAAATAATAAAACAAAAAATAGTAGAAATATAAAATGTTGATGTAACTTAACCGTGATCACACAAAACAGAAAAAGATCGGTTAAATCACGTTAATATTTTATATTCATTTTTTTATAAAAATAATAAAAATATAAAATGTTGACGTAACAGAAAAAGATGGAAAGAGTATGAAAATGGGAAAGAGTATGGAAATGGAAGGGCAGACAATCCACCTCCTTGAATTTTTCTTTGCTTCTCCCGCTTTTGGCAGTCGTTTTCTTTCTACGTTGTCTTTCTTTGCTTCTCCCGCTCTTGCCAGTCCTTTTCTTTTGTTTTTGAATTGTTGCTGCTTTTCTTTTTAACCCGCTATTGTTTCTCTGTGGGTTTTTAATTTTTTGACTTTTTGTGCAGGTAAAGGAAGAACCCATAAGAGATATGTTCACTGAGAGCAAGTCCAGCCTTGCTCTTTGCTCGGGGGACAGGCACCAGGAAAGGGCCCGAGGCCCGGTTGGTTCTTCTCCAGCCATGGAGAGCTTGAATGAGGGTGGAAGCCCGAGGGCCGGGGGGTGGGCAATCGACAGGCCTGTGGCCTGAGGCCCGTGACGTTAGGCCTGGGTCCGGGCCTTTTTTTTTTATTTTTTTTGTGTCAGGCGCGTGCCCCTCACTCGCGAGTGGGGGCGCGTCGCCGACAGGAAATCAGGGCACGGGCTCGCGCGCCTCAGAAAAATCAATGACCGTTGGGAAGCCACGTGGCTTCTCACGGTCCGTTCGATCCCAACAGCTCTTTAATACGAGCCGTCCGATTTGCAACGGTAATTAAAAAAAAAGATGATTTTATATCAACCGTTCAATCTGAGATCAACGGTTAATATTAATCTGCTTTATAAATTAAAAAAAAAAGAAAAAATAGTTTTGAAATTAAGAAAAGTTACCGTTGTGACACGTGGCACAATCTGGAGTGTTGGAATTCAAAATTTTTAAAATCCAAAGGTAGAGATTAATTATTTGAATAAAAAATTTTAAAAAATGGAAAAAATCCGAAAAAATTGTAAAAAATCTGAAATTTTTTTGTAAAAAATTGTTTTTACTTTTCTATAAATACCACTTCTTCTCCATCTACCTTACACCACAAATTCATATTTTCTCAACTACTTTCAATCAAATTCCTATCTTTCTCTCAAAGTTTCAATCCAATTTTTTTCCACAAAATGACTACTGATGCAGGTACGAATTGGTCGCTTCTTGAAGATGTTGCGTTGTGCACTAGCTGAGTTGAAGTTACTCATAATTCCCTTACGGGAAATGAGATGCAGTTGCGAGAAATGTGGAGTTTAATTCATACCAAATTTCTTGAGCAAATGAGTGGGAAAAGAACCAAAGAATCGATATCCAGTCGTTGGAAAATACTTAGCCATTCCTTTAGTATGTGGAGAGATGCCTTGACACAAGCTAGTAGTAATGTTCGAAGTGGGGCAAATTATGCGGATGAGGTAAGAATATATTATAATTATTTGTTTGTATTATTATTTTGTTACCTAATTTGATTATAATTATTTGTTTGTATTATTATTTTGTTACCTAATTTGATTATAATGATTTGTTTGTATTATTTATTTGTTACCTAATTTCATTATTATTATTATTTGTTTGCATTATTTATTTGTGACCTAATTTCATTATTATTATTTGTTTGTATTATTTATTTGTTGCCTAATAATTTCATTATTATTATTTATTTGTTACCTAATTTCATTATTATTATTATTTGTTTGCATTATTTATTTGTGACCGAATTTCATTATTATTATTTGTTTGCATTATTTATTTGTGACCTAATTTCATTATTATTATTTGTTTGTATTATTTATTTGTGACCTAATTTCAATATTATTATTTGTAGCAACTTCAAGCACAAGCATGGTATGTTGCCAAAATCAAATCAAGAAACAAATCATTCACCCGGTGGGAATGTTGGAATATTGTTAAAGATTGTCCTAAATTTAAAGTTGTGTTTGTTGATCCAGAAGTATGCATGAACAACATCCCTCTACACAGCACCTTTGTACACAGCACCCCTCCACACTCTACACCCGATCATGACTCCCATGTTGATGAAGAAGATGGAGAAGAAGTGTCTGAAATGCCCATTCATGAACAAGCGTCGGGGTCGACCCGTTATCCAATTAGGCCTCAAGGTAAGAAAGCTTCAAAAAGGAAAGGGAGTGCTTCCAATTAGGCCTCCTGGTAAAGAAGAAGCAGAAACTATGAATAATGAGATAGAGATGTTGAGAAAATTGGTGTGAGATTGTGAGGATGGATGGTGGATTATATGGACGATTCAGAAAGAATTGGATTGTAGATAAGGCCACGTGGCATGCTGTCATTAGTTAAAAATCTGATCGAAATCTATCCTCAAAAATTCTGAAAAGATAATGACACGTGGCACGATCGTATTGGATAAAAATCTTATCAAAATCTATCTCCAATAATTATCTTTTCGGATAATGACACGTGGCGCAATTTTGAACGAGTTAAAATCTGATCGAAATCTATCGTCAAAGATTCTCAAAAGATAACGACACGTAACACGATGACATTGGATAAAAATCTTATCGAAATTCATCGCTAAATAATTGTTTTTTTATAAAATGACACGTGGCATAACGAGAACGATTTAAAAAATCTTATCCGAAATTACAAATAATTTTATTTTGTATTATTTAAACAAACAAAAAAAACTAATATTTTATTGCCTATTGCCAGGGGGAGGGCTCCAAGGGTGGAGATGCAAATGACAATTATTGTTCATTAAAAGCAGTTACTGTTTAAAAGGTGGATCCAATAGTGGATTCAATAGGGGAGGCTGCATGGCTGGAGTTGCTCTGAAGGACATGACATTTGCGCCTTTCATTGGATTAGAGAGGTTTGTGAAGAAAAATCATTACCATCTTCCTTTTTTCGAATTGAAAAATAAATAAAGTAGGGTTTAATTTTACTGTTGTTTGATTTAGTCCTCAGCACCATTCATGTTATTTTTACTCATTCACTACCCGATAAATAAAACCCATATTTTAATTTTTTTTTAATTTTATGGATTTTGGTGTGATTTTGGTTTTTGATGTTTTCTCGGTGATTGACTTCTTTGGCGTTTAAATTTTATGTTTCCTCAGCGATTGAATTCTGGGTTTTTAGCCGTCCCCAATTTTAGTCGACCCGGGCAGCAAAGGGAGTTTGCCCCTGTTTGCTTTCGTTTTCTCACTAGATATCTCTGCCAGCATGATCCGCCGAACTCGCTGATCGCGTCTGCTTTCGCGGACTAGGTATGACTTCTTTCACTTTCCGTTTGTTTCCTGGGAAAATTTGGGGCTAGAAAGTGTTTAGAATTTTAATCTTTAAACTTTAAACTGTCCTGTGCACAGAGAAATTGAATTTTAATCTCAGTTTCTGTATTCCTCTATAATTGAAGGTCACTCCCTAGAAGGCTGATTAACACCAGCAACCACAACACCAACAATGACTACTGCAGCTTAGGTACAATTAAACAACCATAATTCCCAAGTTTTGATTATTTTTTTTACTAATTCACTATCTTTTAAATATAATCATACCATCCGTGTTGATATGAACAGTCCATGATGTGTTTATTGTGTTGAAAGATGCCAAAAAAAATGGAAAATTTGGGGTGAGTTTGTTGTGTTTTGGTTTTAATCGTTTTGGGAATGTGGAGGTGTTGCATCAAAATTGAAATTGAATAGTACTTTATTGGTATAAATTACATTACCCAATAAATTTTCTGTTGTTTTTTACAATGCCTTTTTTTTTCGTTGTTGCTTAGCTTAGATAAAGATTGAGGCTTTGAATTGAGAGTGAGCTTAATTATTGTTCAATGTTTATTCTGTTTGGTGCATTTACAGCCTTTGTGGCTAACGGAACTTCATCGCTTCTGAAGTTGCAGGTGAGGATTGCAAGGTTTTTTCGTTTCTCTGGTATTGATTCATCGAGTTTGCATGTGGCTTAAAATGGTGTTTCAGTTGCGAGGAACAACACATTTACAAAGTATATTCAAGAATGTATGGTCGGTTGTTTCTGATGTTAAGATTTTGTTATCAATTTAAAAACTGTGGTTTGTATTTTTAGTATTATTTTGGCTTTTTGGTGCAATGGGTTTTTTTTGTACCTAATTGCAGACCTTTCGTTTGCTCATGCTTTAGTAGTTGACTGAGTATCCATGTTTATACATACGTTGATCTTTTTTTTTTGCAACGTGTTCATTTGGCTAAAATTCTGTGATCATTTTTCTTCCCTGAAAATTTTCCAATCAGTTTAATTCTATTTGAATATCTATTATTTCTTTGTTCAACATAGATACCTTTTGGTTTGTTGGTGAGACATTTCGAGTGCTTATCAGTTATTTACTAAAGGTGGTTTTATTGGAACTACTTGAACTTCTTGGGATGCCTGTCTTAAAAGCAAATGGAGAGGGTGTAGCACTGTGTATGCAGTTAAATGATGATGTTGTATCTCATATGCACGAAATGATTTCATCAATTGTGTTGTATCTACTATATATATGCAAAACATATTGCTAGCTAATCTTATTGTTATTAACTCTTCCCTCTTACCTTTCGATTTCTGTTATGATGTGCAGGCTATTGAATTTGGGAGAAAGCTTGCATGCAAACTCTTTGTTTGCATATTGTTCTTGAGTGAGTCCCTTAACTTTGCCTTGAAGTGTCTTTATATTCTCATTCACTTTGTTTTATTGCTAGGAAATTCTGAGTGGAAAGAAGTTCAAAGAAAAATACTCAAGCTAAATTACATTTGATCTACAAATGGTTGGACTGACATATTTCTTAAACAATGAAGGCGTGAAATATAAGTCGACAACAACAACAACAACAACAACAAAGCCTTTTCCCACTAAGTGGGGTCGGCTATATGAATCCTAGAACGCCATTGCGCTTGTGTCATGTCCTCCGTTAGATCCAAGTACTCTAAGTCTTTTCTTAGAGTCTCTTCCAAAGTTTTCCTAGGTCTTCCTCTACCCCTTCGGCCCTGAACCTCTGTCCCATAGTCACATCTTCGAACCGGAGCATCAGTAGGCCTTCTTTGCACATGTCCAAATCACCGGAACCGATTTTCTCTCATCTTTCCTTCAATTTTGGCTACTCCTACTTTACCTCGGATATCCTCATTCCCAATCTTATCCTTTCTCGTGTGCCCACACATCCAACGAAGCATCCTCATCTCCGCCACACCCATTTTGTGTACGTGTTGATGCTTCACCGCCCAACATTCTGTGCCATACAACATCGCTGGCCTTATTGCCGTCCTATAAAATTTTCCCTTGAGCTTCAGTGGCCTACGACGGTCACACAACAAGCCGGATGCACTCTTACACTTCATCCATCCAGCTTGTATTCTATAGTTGAGATATCCATCTAATTCTCCGTTCTCTTGCACGATAGATCCTAGGTAGCGAAAACGGTCGCTTTTTGTGATCGCTAGATTGCTCCGGTCATTAGTGTGGATAAGTATATAAATGGATAGAGACAGGAAAGCAAACACAAGATGTACGTGGTTCACCCAGATTGGCTACGTCCACGGAATAGAGAAGTTCTCATTAATTGTGAAGGGTTTACACAAGTACATAGGTTCAAGCTCTCCTTTAGTGAGTACAAGTGAATGATTTAGTACAAATGACATTAGGAAATATTGTGGGAGAATGATGTCGTAATCACGAAACTTCTAAGTATCGGAGTGCGGTATCGTCTTGACTTGCCTTATCTGTCTCATAGGTAGATGTGGCATCTTCTTTGGAAGTATTCTTCCTCCATCTAGGGGTGGTATCTTTAATTGGTGGAGATGCACAAGGTAATGTATCAATTTCACTTGAAGCTTACTTGTAGTTTCAGGCTTGGTCAAGCGCGATACAAACCATGTAGTAGGAGTCCCCCAAGTCGCCGAGCTAGAGGATCTGCTGAAAGAGGTGACAGACAAGGTAAGCAATCAGAGCTCCGGCTGATTGTTCACATTCTCCCTATCTTGCAGGCAGCATGAAGGATAAAGAGAAGAACATGAGAAGAGATGATATGGGATACTTTTGCTTTTGAAGAAGTAACTTTCCACAGGCTTATTCTTGAACTGAGCTGGAGGGTTTTCTGGTTTCCTCCAGAGTATAAGGCCGACTGAAGAATTTGAGGGTCAAAACACGTCCATCAAATCTAGAGTACGTTCGACCCTGCTGATATGGGATACTTTTGCTTTGACAGAGTAATGGATGTATCGGCACGTGTGCTGTTTCGCTTGTCTCCACATGCTTCCTTGTATCCTTCTCCCTTGCCCTATCTGTTCCTCAGGCAGATGCGGTATCTTCCCTGGAAGCATAAGATGTTGAAGATGAGTACTCGAGAGCAATGGCAGGTAAGTAATCAGGTAAGGGGTTCCAGGCAGTCAGTTCCTGGCTGGAAGCTTGATTCCAAGTGCTGACTGATTGCTCTCTTTCTCCTTGTCTTGCAGATAAGAACAAGGCTAAAGGAAAAGACAGGGAAAAAGCATGATATGTGATACTCTTGCTTTTAACCCTGATGATATGAGATATTCTTGCTCTAGTATAGCTTGTTTGCAGAGATATTATCGGGGGGAAAGAAAGCTGAATATTTCGAAAGGCTTCGTTGGGAGTGCCCTCTCAGATATGAGGAAGGGTTGAGCATTTTTGCAGGTCTGCCTGTCCGTTGGGGATGGAGGTCGACATATATAGGAATCTCCTTAACAACAAGTAGTAATGCTATTCCTTTACCCTACTTGGTCATAGCACGGTAGTGGGAGCTGCCAGCTTCACATGTTTTAACTCTGTCAGAGCACTTTGAAAAAGTGGTCTGTGGTATCTGGAAATGCGATGTTGCGTGTGAAGATTACAGACAGCTTTATCCAAGGAGATCCGGCTCTTGAAGTTGGGAAAGTGTTGCCTCTTTCGGTTTTCGAAACAAGCAATCCTATCGGGGATCTGGCTCTCGAGATTCGGAGAACGATGCCTCTTCGATTTTTGAGAAAGCAATCATGCTGGGGGTCTGGCTCTCGAGATTCGGAGAGCGGTGTCTCTTCGATTTTTGAGAAAGTAATCATGTTGGGAGTCTGGCTCTCGAGATTCGGAGGGCGGTGCCTCTTCGATTTTGGAGCAAGCAAACTTGTTGGGAGTGTTTTCTCGAATGTGAGTAAAGGTTGGGCATGTTTGCTAGTCTACCTTGCCACGAAGCACAGAGGTTGACACATAGGGACTTTCCAATTATCCAGCAATGGTACTGTTCCTTTACCCTCTCTTCGATTTTTGAGAAAGTAGTCATGTTGGGAGTCTGGCTCTCGAGATTCGGAGGACGGTGCCTCTTCGATTTTGGAGCAAGCAATCTTGTTGGGAGTGTTTTCTCGAATGTGAGTAAAGGTTGGGCATATTTTATGCCATTGTTGTCATATTTTCTTCCTTTGCGTCACATATATTATGCCATTGTTGTCATATTTTCTTCCTTTGTTTTGAACAATGCTTTTATGTTACACCAAGAAAAATCTATTTGAGGATGGGAACCACCTATATCGGTTCTTGGATGATGATCCAATTGTATCTCGGTTTCAGAATAGGAAGGGATAACCGAGTTGAGTTCATGGATTAGAGTAGGTTGGGTTAATTATGCTTTAGCATATGCTTTCTTTGACTTAATGTCAATTAATTGACGTTTATCATAGTTTGCATGTGCAGATGCTTTTTATTTTTTCAATTGATGCTTTAGCAGTTTCTATTATCTACTTTTTGGGGTATAAATCGTATCTATAATTTCAATACATGTTCTTCATGACAATCTATGGTATTTATGAAATAATTCATGTTAGAGTAATTTTTTTTTCCTTTCCCTTCAATGCAGTCCCGGCAGAAAGCACGTGCAGACTTGCAGCAGATGCACTATGCATGTAAGTAAGACATTTTACTATCTGTCTTTCTTGGTTAGTGATTCTGGTATAGCTGATTGATGTGAATGTCAATGGTGTGGTTTTTGTTCCTGGCTTTATGCTTAGTGCAGTGTATTTTCTATATATACAATTTTCTCCTTCCGTTTCTACTGTTTTTTGTTTTTTTTTTTTTTTTGAGTCATGTATACTATTGATGTTGTTTTTGTAGCTTGAGAAGCTGAGCGATATGCAGTCCCAACTTGAGTCACAGCTGAAGTTCATACAGAGGTCTGGCTACAGGTGCAGCACAAATTACCTCACTTTTCTACCAAGAGTATTGCCTATTTTGTTTGTTGTTTTATTTTTTTAATAATTAAATTTTCTCTATTTTCAGATAGTTGATTGTAGGCGAGTACTAAAATTGACATATGCCGATGGATGTTATTTGCTGGAGCATGAACATGCCAAGTTGTTTTGAGTACTTGCAAGGTATGTCATTTTCTCAATCTCAAATAGACAATGCGCAGAAAATGAGCTACAAGTTTACCTGAATGATAAGGACATCAAAAGATTTCATTGAGTTTCGCACAAAACTTGCTGGATTGACCAGGTTATGTTCCACTACAGATATTACACTACTTTTCTGATTGGATAAGTTGATTCGGGTTACAATGATATAGCTTTTCAGTTTATTCATACTAAGATATTAGTTTTTTTAAGTGGGAATGCCATGATTGAAATTTTATAGAAATGATGAATGGGCCAATCTGAAATACCAAATTTCAGCTGATGAACTCACTCTTATATGACTATTACTGCATATACTCATCTTTTATTTTGTTGGGTTTTATTTTTATTTCATTTTTTTTTTGGTTTCGCAAAGAACTGAATTTTATCTTATCTATAGCTCTATACGCATGTAGTTTTTCTCTTTTTGGGTTTCGAGTATTTGGTTGGTTTTATTTAACAATCTTTTGGAATATAGAGAAACTTTGCACCAATGTCTTATTCCTGAATCTCCTGATGATTTGGCATTGAGATGTTAAGCAAAGGTGTCCCATGGGAACCACAGATTGCTTGAAACTATCTCAAAGAAGTGGAGAGATTTGTCTCCAGACTATGCCAACTATGAAGCTTTAGAAAAATGGTGCGGAAATTGGCTGTTTGTCATTGATGAGGTATAATCCAATAGCTAATAGCTAATAAGTATGCTCTTATATTTAACACTGTAAATATGTCTAAAACTCATGTTGTTATTACTACTTTCATTTTGGCAGAAGGAAAGGTTTTTCGTTTTTCAATTCTTGCTATATCATCTTGGGTTGTGCAAACTATTCATTATAGGGGATCCCTTCATGTATATAGTTGTTTCTTGCTAAGATTTCTGCAAAATATTTTTGTTATGTCGAAGTTGAAATCTTTTTTAGGGTTGTAAATAGATTTCACATGTATGTAAATAGTATATATACACATTATAACTTTCTACTTATTTTATATGATTTTAAAACCCGCAGCACCGAACGGGCACTTTTGCTGGTTATATATACTAAAACCCAGTTGGGTTCCGGCCCTGTTCATTAATAGTGTCAGGATGGAAATGCCCCTTGCTTGGTTTGTGTTTTGGCGTTGTTCTCCCTCTTTTCTACATTGAAATGTCGGCTTTGCCCATGATTGGTGGGTGTTTTTTGACAGGCCGAATTGCCCTTTGGGGTTTTAATGGGTTTTGATTGTTTTTGAGGGTTGGTGCAGGGAGAAGGTGGGGATTGCATCTGCCACGTGTTGATCATCGTCCATGATTGGTGGGTGTTTTTTGACTGCCCGAATTGCCGTTCGGGGTTTTTAATGGGTTCTCATTGTTTTCGGGGGATTGGTGCAAGAAGGTGGGGATTGCATCTGCCACGTGTTGATCATCCTGTTATGCTCTTTTCTCTCTATTTTGTTTCCTTTTTGTTTCCCTTTTCATATTTACTTTGTTGGGTCGCTGTCTTTTGCTCTCGCATTTTCTTTTGCTTTCTTCTCGCCTTTTTGCTTTGGTTTCGTGCGCTTTTGTGTTTGCTTCTTCTCGGTCGTCCTCTCCTCTGCTCCGTGCCTCTTTGCTACGTCGGAGAGCCCTGTGGTGCGTCATTTTTTTTTTTTAGATTTTTATGTTCGTTTTCATATTTTTATGTTAGTTTGGAAAATGAGTTTTCTTCTGTTGCGTTTAAATATGTCTGGCCTTTGTTCATTTTTTGGGTTTATCGTTCAATTTTGGTGATGTTGTCCTTTTGAATCATGCGTTCAAATAGATTTTAGGGTTCTAGAATGCTGCAGCAGTCGACGCCTGTGTAGAAAGAGGTCTGGTTAAGTGATTTGCTGAAGCAGAGGTTGGGAAAAGAGAGAGGGGGGTATAAGAAGTGTGGTTAGGCATGAGTGGTGGAGGTAGAGAGTTTGCGTTTTGCTGTTTGGTGGGTTTTCCTTTTGGCCATCTCATTGTTTTGATCCGTTAGTTATTTAAGCAAATTGTTATAGGTGTGTAGTTTTTTAGAGTCTCCCTTTCTTCATATGAGGGTGATGCCATTGATTGATGATTAGTCTCACTATTAATTGCACTGACAATTTAGTCTTAGTTATGGATTTGCAGGTGGATAGGGTTCATTTTGCAAAGTACAAAATTGCATTCACACTTTAGTCTTGGTGTAAAGCAATAATTGGCGTATTGATTTCAACTCATCGTGTGCTTTGTTTCTTTGAAGCCTTTGGGTTCAGCTTTGATTTGCAGAGGATGACATAAATTTGTATCTTTTTTTAGATGGAGGTTTGTTTTGTGATATGTGACTGGATTCGTGGTGGTTCATGAATGGGTTAGGCTTGGTGTTTCTGTACTTGAGTTTTTGTGCGGTCTTAGTGTCGGCTATTTTGTTGTTGTCATTTCTTTTTCGTGTGGTCATTAACTTTGTGATTTCTTTGTTGTAGTTGTTGCTATTAGTGATGGTGGCTGAGGTGTTCGTTTCTTGGTGTTAAAACTCGGGTATCCCGTTCTTTTGGTCAATATTATTTGTTCTTTGGAGGTGTGATTCACGGGATTTGCAGTCTGGGTCTCTGTTTCGCGTCCTTGGTTTTATTGGACATTATAAAATTTGTGCAATTGTTATATAGGCATGCAAGACAGGGTGGAAAAGATAGCAAAAGTACAAATGGTTGTTAAACTCTCCATGACTTCCTTTCAGACCATGGGTGAATGAATTGTGGATCTTTTATAGTTTTGTGTCTTTTTTTCTTTTTGTAGTTTTGTGGGAGTTTCTGATATGTCATTGAAATTCCCTTTTGATAGGATAAATGTAAACTGTGCGCCCAACTCCTGTTAATCAGTTAAGACCATACATAAAGGCGGACAAAATCAAAATTCGCATATACAGGATTTGAAAATTGATGATTCTAGGAACTGTTCAAAAGTATACAAACCTGCACTGTATATTGGTTGATGATTCCAGTACTAGTTCGTCTCTGTTTTTTATTGACCCAAACATCCCCGAAGTGAATATGTATGAGTCAGTGTGAGTAAAATTTTCGTTTTTACAACAAAAAAGCACGTTTTTTTTTTAAATGGAAAGCAGTTGCTATCTTTTTTTATTTTTTATTTTTTTATAATTGTTAAACTGATAAGATGTTTTGAATCCTGCAGGTTTTGTGATTGTAAAGAAGCTCTGGAAATAGTCTCCCTCTGCAATCCAAGAAAACGAAGCTCAAATTTTGCAGACTGCTAAAAAAGTTTCAATCGATGAATTGGCTTTTTTGGATCCAGATTTTCATAAGGAACATAACGTTTATTTTTTGTGTTTTCTTAAAATCTTACCATTGCATTTTGACCTTTTTAATGAAACTGAATTATGTTGTTCTTGTTACGGCTATGTGACAAAATATATCACAGGATGATACATTTGTGTGTAGAGCATCTGTCAAGCGTTTTGACACGCGGTTCAACTGGTGGTACAGTACTGCATGAAACAGATGCACAAGGATTCAACCATTGGGCAGCTCATTTGTCAAAAACATCCAAACCAAATTCCAACGCCGTGGTAATGTTAAACTAAATATTTGAAGCAAGGCTAACAAAAAATTTACTCTTTCTTGATACCATAGCATGTTGTTTGTTCTCATTAACCAATTGAGAAAAATAAATATAGATAGGGTTATTCACTTTGTGTGCAAAATTTACAATTTTGGTATAATAATTTATGTCATCACACTCAATTTTTTTTTAATTAAGTGTCGAGAAATCATAATGTCTTCCACCACTGCTTCATCTTCGGCCTCAACCGTTGAACCCAACGAGCAGTCATTTAATCGAAAAAGGGAATCAATCAGGCAAGCTCTTTTCACTTGCACACCCTTAGAGTTGGTCCTAACGCGAGTTCTTGTTTGCTTCTGTTTGGGCTTGATTTTACATCAGCTTTCTAAAGGGTGCGTAATTTGATTTGTATTTGTGCTTGTTCTTAGGCCATCTCCAACCGATGGCTGGCCAGAGGGCTCGTTTTAGCCCTCTGGCCCTCCAAGATTCTCCAAGATATTAATATTTTAATGAACAGTACAGGGCCATATTTGCCTCCGTCTCCAACCGAGGGCCAGAGGGCCAGAGGGCTCGTTTTAGCTCTGTCACAAAAAACCGTCTCCAACCGAGGGCCAAAGGGCCATAGGGCCAAACATAATTTATTGTTTAAAAACTACAATTTAATGTTGTATAAATGGCCTAGGAAGTTATACGAAAAAAATAGAATTGAAAAAAAATATGAAACAAATTTTGTGAAATAGAAGTTATAGGAAAAAAAATATGAAACAAAATTTGATTCATATGAAAAGGAAAAAAAAAGGGAAAAAAAGAAGTTTAAATTCATTAAAAAGGGAAAAAAAAGAAGTTTAAATTCATTAAAAAAAAAAAAAGAAAAAAAGAGGCCTAATAATCCAACGGCTACTAGCCGTTATATTCAAAAGCATTTCAAACTATTAGTGTTGGTTATAACCGACACTAATAGTAGAACTATTAAAAAAACAAAAAAGAATACCTTTAATGCTGTCGGTTATAACCGACAGCAATAGGAAATCATTAAAAAAAAAATAGCCAGCCCAGGGCTGGCTGGCTGGCCGAAAGCAGCCAGCCCTCCAGCCCTCTCCGATCCCGTGGGGTCCTCCCAGATTTCAGAGCCCTCTGGCCTAGCCCTCGGTTGGAGACGGTTTTAGGGCTATTTTCGGGCCTCTGGCCCTCTGGCCCTCTGGACCCTTCGGTTGGAGATAGCCTTAAGCACCGGGTTTTCACCTAAGTGAAGGCCAAATGGCTTTTAACCTAATTTTAATGAAGAGGCAGTGCTCTTTTTATTTTTGGCAAAAGCTTAAATAAAATGACAAGTTTGCCCGGGAAAATGATGGATCAGACCCTGAAATAGTGCCCAAGTCATGGGGCTTGTCTTTAGTGGTTTGGAATACTGGGTAATCGGGCTTTTTATCCATTGAAAAATGAAAAGAAAAGAAAATTTTCTTAATTTTACTTTGATTGTTCATTTTTTGTACTACTGAGTAGTTCGAACTATTAAAGAAAACTTAAAAAGTCAGTGAATGAATAAAGTAAGTGGGAGCTTGAGGTAGTTTGTGTACATTTGGCGCCCTGCTAGTGGTGCTTGCAATTTAGTCATTACCTTCATTGGGAAAATTTTCAATGTGTTCGAAATACGGGATGGTAAGGCATATGTTGTCATATAAGTGGAAGAAAGTTTTTTTTTTTTTGTTTTTTTTTCTTCAAGTGTCCATCCACTTGTATAATGATATACGGTGTATGTATCATGTGTTCCAAGCATACTGGCAAATCCCTTCCCTTCATCACGCTACCTAGTCACTCGGTGTGAGGAAGTTTATAATTTTTTCATCTGCTTACTCGCCAGTAGCCTGGATCACATTCGTCGCTTAATTCCCTCTCTTCATGGTCTGAGGTTTAAGTCACTTTTTTTGGTATGAGGTTTTAGCCTTATTTTTAAGTGCCTTTCCACTTATATTATAATAGATGGTGTATCAATTGTCTTTCGAATACACTAAAAAAAAATCCCTCTTTTATGACAAGATAAGTATTGCTTACTTTTTGATATTGTGCACTAGACTAAATTCACAGCACCACCATATGTCAAGGCCCAATGTACAAACCCACTTTACACCGAAGCCCTATAAATGCGAGGGAACCCCATTCCACAGGAAAGTAGGATTTTCACCTTTTTTTTTTTTTTTTTTTTTCTTTTCTTCCTTTTTATTTCAACAGTAATAATAATTAAGAGACGTTAATATTTTATAAAAAAAATAAAAAAATAAAAAATATGAGAAGAAAAGATGGAAGATGATGGGAAGAGGAGGGTAAAAAATCATATTCCTCCCTAAAGCGGGCCAAACCCTGAACCAGATACGTCCCGTTTACTCTCCGCACGTAATCAGAGTGTTTCAGTGATCACTCGGATCACTTTCCACTGCAACAGTTGAAGCAACAGCATCATCCTCCATGGACCCGCTCTCCACCCTCCGCGACTTCACAATCCGCGGCGAGCTCGACAAGATCGTCCGGGTCAACGACGAGTTCCGGTTCGGTTCCGAGTACAGCTTCCCCTGCCACGCCGAGACCGCCTACCGCTCCAAGCAAGGCAATCTCTACACCCTCGAAACCCTCCTTTATTACGTCAACAACCACCAAATCAAGCACACCGACTACATCCAGTGCGCCCGCACCCAGGGGATCCCCTCCGTCACTTTCCCCGACCGCAAGCCCCTCCTCGACTACCTCACCGGAAAGATCTCTTCCTCCGACTCCATCGAGTTCATCCTCCCTCCCCAGAACGACGCCATACACCACCCCAAAATCCCTACCGCCCTCGATTCCGCCAGCAACGGTAACCACATCAGCAACGACAACGGCGATTACGCCGCTTTGGATTCTAGGGTTTTCACTCAAATTGAGACGCCGGTGGACTACATGTCTTTGATTTGCTCCAGCGAGCGGCCGTTGAAGGACCGCGAGGGGTTGCTGGAGTGTAAAGGCAGGAACTTTTACGCTGTTTTGACTTCGGCGACGAAGAGGGAAGAGGAACGGCAGCGTATCGAGTCGCAGCAGAGGAAAGACGGGCTGGTGGCGAAGAGCAGGCTAATGGGTTCGGACGAGAGGGGCTTGACCGGGTTCGGAGATGAATCGGGTTACGACCCGAATACGAAGCCCAAATTGCACTTGAAAGGAGGAAAAGTTGGGGAAGGGGTGCCCATAATTTTGGTGCCCAGTGCGTTTCAGACGCTGATTACGATTTACAATGTGAAGGAGTTTTTGGAAGATGGGGTTTATATACCCACTGATGTGAAGGTGAAGCAGATGAATGGGGCGAAGCCGGACTGCGTGACGGTGCAGAAGAAGTTTAGTAGGGATAGGGATCGGGTGGTGACGGCTTATGAAGTTAGGGATAAGCCCTCAGCATTGAAGGCGGAGGATTGGGACCGTGTTGTGGCGGTTTTTGTGTTGGGGAAGGAATGGCAGTTCAAGGATTGGCCTTTCAAGGACCATGTTGAGATTTTCAATAAGAGTAAGTGGAAATTTTCAGTTGTGAGGTTTTAATTGCATTGAAAAATAGTTTTCTGGTTCGTTGAGATTTAGCTTTCTGACTTTGTTTTATGTGGCTTTTGAAACTTCATTGTATTTGTAGCTGATATGATGTTGGCTTGTTTTGTATCTGTTTGATTGTATTGCAGTTATGGGCTTTTTCATGCGGTTCGAAGATGATAGCGTGGAGTCGGCAAAGATTGTGAAGCAGTGGAATGTGAAGATCATCTCAGTAAGAATTTTTCACCATCTTGAGATGGTTAGGGACTTGGTTTTGTAATTGAAATCATTGTCACTTCATGTTTGTTATTTGTTTGTTCTGTTCTCGAACGATATTGAACTGTGTTCTAAATGTGCAGATTAGCAAAAATAAACGACATCAAGATAGAGCTGCGGCATTGGAGGTGTGGGACAGATTAGAAGAATTTGTGCGGTCAAGATCACATTCTTGACGTGCATCAAGTTGCAGAAGAAAGAGATTACAACAGTCATGTTGGTGTGGCTTGCGCTTTTGTGGTCCTTTAACTTTTAAGTTTTGCTATAAAAAAATTGAGGATATTTTAGGATAATGTAACATTACATTTTTTCTGAGTGACGAGACTATATCAATCTAAGAGTCCATGGAGATGCTCGGCTGAATATCAAGGGTTGGCAAGGAGAATGACCCGAGGATAGATACTCGAAGATGGAGTTGTCGTTTTACATATTTGCAATGTTTATCAAACCTTTGCCTGATCATTGCAGATATGCGGAGGGTTTCCCAGTTAATCAAAAACTGACTGAGGAACAGCGGTTGGTGCCCTTGAACCATCTTCTCCGGAGGTTCAGCAAGACACTGTTGAGATTCATCTGAAGGTAGGATGTCTGCATATTTGCAAACTAGGCGGAAGTTAATACTGGTCCTACATCTCCACCCGCTCGTAGGGAGATGAAGCTTTGCACAGGAAGTGCAATGTGGCTATTCGGGAGGACGGAGATTGGAAAGCTTGTAGTACAGTAAGTGTTAAGTTTTCTACACGAAGTTGTATTTTGTGATTGATGTTTATTATCATATTTCTAATCAATTGATAATTTTGTCACTGAAAAGCCAGAAAAATTTTATTATAACAAAAAAGGGAAGAGAGCAGGATTGCCTCTTTCAACATTACAAAAACCATATCTAGCAAAAATAAAATACAAAAACTATATCAACCTCCCTGAGGTCACAAGCAATATATCAATAATCTAACAACTGAATCAAAATAATAATCGAATACATGAACAATCACAAACAGTATTATGTGTAACTTGAAATGTTTGGCCAACAGAAAAGAAAAATCAGCACATTGTGAAGATAGCATATGCTGCAGCCAAGAGAAGAAAGAGTTGAGTCGTAGCAGACATCTTGATGGAGTTTCCGTCCGACGAGCCACCTTGAGTCGACGGTACATTTTTTGATCCGTTTCCTGCATAATATGAACATCAATAGTGTCAACCTTTTAGGTGGAGCAGAGGATTAAAATTTCTAAAGATTCATTCACAGCTAAAAGAATCATATGAACTGTTTTGTGTACCTGAAGGACTATTTGGAGTGTCTGCTGCTCCTGTTGGAGAGTCAGCTGGAGAACCGGCTGCGTAAATATAACGGTATACAAGTTATTAGAAGAAGATTAAGACGGATCATTAGAATGTGAGCATCCACCCAAAACCAATAAACAATAGGATGGAGAGGCCTAAGATCATTTATACTATATTAGGCAAGGCTTTAATTCCTTGATGTGAGATTCTTTCTAATCGTCGACGCAAGACATTGAGCTATGCAGGCTTACCGTTACACTGGCTGAGTGGTGGGGTCTGGACATTGCAAGCACCAGGCAATGCCAGAGCCTGAGTCCGATTCACGTTGACCCCCAGAGATGATCCACCGCCGTTAAGAACCTCACACAAGCACTGTGGGGAGGAAGCGACAACGCTAGCGAGCTGCGAGCAGCATCCGGAAGTAGGGGTTGAGGAGTTTCCAGTGATGTAACTGAGGCAGGGTGACATGCTGATGATCACATTTGTGCAACTAGACTGTGCTGCTGCCCTTGCGAAGAACATGGTCACTAGGACAAGGACTAGAGACATCTCAAACTTTTGTGCCATTAGAATACAAGTTGTTTGGATTTGTGCGAGAAGTGATTGGGAAAATGCGATATCTCAAGTGGGATTTGAACGTTTTGATTGATTCGGTGAAGTTAGAGGAGAAATATGTGGCCTTTTGTAGGGGTGGAGATGAAGAAAGAGGACAAAAATGTTGGAATAATTGGTAACCTAACTATTCCTACTTGCATTATGTCACAATGGGTTCTTCGTTTAGTTACGAAGCTTAGGTTTTAACATATTGATTCAATTGTTATATGGCTTAGCTGGCTGTGGAATAGTATGAAGGTCGGTTATTGGGTTACCAACTTGGGAAAGGGATCCTCTCCAGATCTCTTACACCAAATCCATCAATATGAATTCTTAAAATTTGATCAAACGGCTAAAGTTATTATAACTTTTAAAATGATCCGGATTGAGATTTGATGGATTTGGTGGAAGGGATCCGGATCCCTTTCCACGAACTTGTATTGTTTCCGGCATATAGATAAGATCCCAACTTAAAAAATTTAGATGTCCAAAATGGGTGGTTTGGATTTAAAGTATGTTGAATGAAGAAATGTTTTTTTTTTTTAATTCTATTTTGAGCAACTTAAAGAAATTGGATCAGTTGATCATGAAAGAAACTTATCCCTTTCAATTGAGAGATTCTCTCATGCAATCAAATTTTAGTTTCAGTGGCGTCACTGTCTAATAATACTTGCCACGTGTTTAAAAAGTATATGACTCATCCAATGAACGATTGACATGTCGTCAGTTGGTGACATGAGAATTTCTCCTTCCAATCGACACAAACGTTATTCATTAATCCCTTTAAATGAAAAATTATTTGCTACAACGTTGACATACCTTAAATTGTGAGTTATCAAATCCAATCTAATAAGCACCAAACGAACTACATAAAACCTTTTAGAGTACTTTTACCTCTTATTTCTCGCTACAAACAACAATAAGAAGAAAGATTGTTAAGAGTTACCCTAACCACACCACCTCAAATCCAAGAGGAACCAGTTACGATAACAAGTCCTTCTAACAGAAACTTGTTAAAACACAACTTCTTAAATTTCCTAGATGCTATATATATGTTGGAAGAGATCTTGGTAGTGACTAGAAGGAAAGTTGACTTGAGCTTATGATTGAGAACAATGAGGAATTTTCTAACACCTGTCCATGAGGTATGGTGAACTACTCTTATCTTGTATTTGCATGTTGGTCAGCAAAATTTTCGAGTTGTCAAATTATTATTGAAACCCTTATTTTGGAGAGCAAATTATACTGAATCGGGTTACTGCAATTGTGGTGTCATGCTTTGGCATTTTAAGAGACATTTAGACATGGCAAATGAGTTATTAATTTATTAAGACCATCTCCAACCTTTGGGCTAAAAACCAAATTTTTTAGCTCGGTTTTTTTTGTTTTTAGCCCAGAAACATCTTTTCTGATCCAACCCTTCTGTCCTAAAATTTTAGCCCGGAATTATTAAAGAATGAACTTAGGCTAATTTTTTTCTTAAATCAATTAAAAAAAATATGTAGATTATTGTAAATTAATTTTATGAACATTTTAATCTAAAAAAATTTAAATTCCGATAAACATTTGGGATTTAGCCCGGGGGGAAAGCTGGGGGGTATTTGGTCCAGAAATAACATTTGGCATTTAGCCTAAAATTTTAACATGGGTTAGAGAGTGTTTCCGGGGGGGGGGGGGGTAATTTGGCTTTTAGCCCAGATTTGGAGATGGTCTAAGCGGAAACGCTACATAATAGTGAAATTATTTTATGTAAATTCTTCTTTTAAGTCTGTAACGAAAAAAAAAATTGAAGCGAATTGTTTTTTTTTTCTTTTCATTTTCTAGAATTAAAGGATTCTTCTCTTTTCATGAAAAGTTAAAAAGCTGCTCAACGAAATAGCAACATGTTCATAGGGTATTTCTTTTGGAATGTGGATCCTTGTCGGATCCTCTTTGTGAGGATCTAGAGAATCCATGTATCGTGTTTATTCATCGTATATCATGCGATTGTAAATTATTTTAAATAATTTTATTTAAAATTAAACACAAATAATACTTGACAAAAACTTCACGGATTCTTAGGATCCTCACCAAAAAGGATCCGGAGAGGATCCTGTTGGTTTCTTTTGCTAATTCCTAACTGTGTACAAGTAGATTATCGATTAAGTTTTGGTTCTCAATTTAGGGTTCCTCGTTTTAGAGAAGATTGATAGCAATGATTGAAATTAAGATAAAATCTTGGACATATATTAATAAACAACTGATTACACAGAAGAATTTCTCCACGGTTGCGAGGTTTAGAATGACTGTTTTGGATGGATCCAAAGTACATAAAATCTTGCTAACTATATCCTCACACTTTTTTTCACTTAGTGCCTCTTCATTTTGGTTACATTTTCACTTTTTATGTTCCTAGTAGTATGATTTTATTTCAACCTTAAAACAAATGACATCGATTTGAGCTATGAACCAACCATATGAAGCCGCATAATAAAAACCAGAGTTGGACGTTTCTTACTCACCAAAGTCTCAGCGAAAATGCAAGTCAAAAGATGCTGCATAAATATGGCATGTAATGCTAACCCCACCGCTAACAAAAACACCCTATTGTTTTCCACATGAGTTCGTTAAGGTAGTTGATCTCCAAAAACCTACTCAGAAAATTCACCTGTTCTTCTTCCCTCCGCCTCCCTTCATGTATAAATTCTCTCACCCTTCTCACTTCCGAACACAACTCAAACACCTCACAATTCATCATAAACTTTTACGCATTTCCAACTCCTAAAAACCACAAATTTCCTTCCAAGTTCCACCAAATTATTCAGAAACTATGGAGATTTTTGTGCCGTTTCCCCGTCTAGTTATGGCAATGGCAGTGGCCCTGGTCCTGGCTCTGCCAGCCTCCGCGCAAGTTGGTTCCCCATGTACTGCCAACACGATTGCTAGCTTTTCCTCTTGCATGAGTTTTCCCACTAATAGCAGCGCCAATGGTACATTACCAACCGCAGCCTGCTGCAATTCGCTAAAATCCATCACAAGTACTAGCAGGGACTGTTGGTGCCTCCTTGTGAATGGAAGCGTTCCCTTCCAGTTGCCAATCAACCGGACTCTAGCCATCTCTCTTCCTCGTGCCTGCAACCTCCCTGGCGTCCCTCTCCAATGCCCAGGTTGATTTAAAACTTTTGTAATTTTGACATGGTTTTTCAGTATTATAAACATGATTAATTATGTGTACTTTATGATATGATTACTAACATGAACATATGATCAATGTGCAGCCGCTGGTGCACCTATTCGTGCTCCAGGTACCATTTTAATCTGAAGTATTGTAATTTTAGGTTAATGTTCCCTTGTCAATCAGTTAAATATGTTATATTACGATAATAATTGATATTGACAATCTAATATCATAACATGTCGGACTGTCTGATGAGTGAACATTTTCTTATACTGTATGGTTGTTGGTGAACTAATGCTGTCTAATTGAATTTGGCAGGTCCTAGATCCCTGTCGCCAACTCTTTCTCCTGGAGCTTCACCATCTGCTCCTACAGGTAATTTCTTAAATTAGTACATTTTCATCGAAGCTGTTTAATGCTAAAAGCGCTCGAAATGGCAATGGTTCTTGATATTGATTGCCTCATAACATGTTTTCTGTTGAGCAGCTTCCTCTGTCCCAGCACCCACCTCATCTGCTGAGTCACCAGAATCCGACAACACACCAGATTTAACTCCGCCATCCACAACAGGGGGTTCTGGAGCTCCAAACGCAACTCCTGGGAGCCGCCCGGTTGTGACTCCATCGGCTGCTACACCCTCTTACTCGCCTTCCCTTCTGCTATTGGCATCCGGCATTCTAGCTATGAAGTTTTTCTAGGCTGATTGTATATGTTTTGCCTCTACACATTTGTCGTACATTGTTTGAGAAATATTATTTATAATTGAGTGTGATTATTGTATTTCATTACTTCAGATCATTGTAAGCCATATTTAGGTGGTTATTGATAGAACCAGTGAAATTAAATATTTGTTTCATTTTAATTTGGGACCTCTCACAAATTCAGTTTCAGTAAATTACTTCAAGACTCATACGAATGGCTGACACAATTTTCTTTCTTCGTGAGACGTTGCATCGATCACTTCACTACTCACTCCACCCTGGATGCAAGAATGTTGGGGTCAAACACTCAATTTTGCGCAGAGATGCAATTGATTCTGAAATTCTTGAAGTTTTGCGTGGAGGAAGGAGTGAAGCGTTTGATGAAATGACTCGTAAGGTCATCGCTTGTCCGTAATGAAAAAGGATTTTGGTTTCTATCTGTCGACTTTGAGTAGATATTTGGATTCGTAATTCGAATTTGTAACCATATGACGTGGTTATCTGCAAATTTGAGAATTTGCAAACATTTATATAAAAGCTGAGGAAGAACAGACTCATCATCTCATTCACACAATGTTTGAGCTTAGCATGTGGCTCAAGTCACAAATTAAAATCCTCCTCTGTAGTTGAGAATTCATGAATAATACTCCTCACAATCCATGTGACAGGGTTGTATTTTATCAACCCACCGTGCAGGCCAAATAGCATGATTTTTTTACGATACAAAGATGAAAGGCGTGATACGTTTCAACTCATTTCGTTCTGCCTGTCACAATATGAATCTGTTACTATACAAGCAAGTGCGTGACACAAAAGATAGCAGACTAATCGATCCTATATGAAACTGTACTGCAAACCAATTAATAAAATGGCTTTTCAACTTTAGCCTGCATTTTGGTGTGGTCGCCAGGGAATTAAGACGGTTAAATTTCACTACATAGTTTTGTTACCAAAACGCTTGGAATGCTGTAAACTAACAAATGCATCAAAAAGCAACATTTCTAAAGTGAAACAAAAAAATCGAAAAAAAGGGTCGCGTTACTGTCAATTGGCCAAGTGTGTCCTTGAAGTTGATTCCTTCTAGTAAATTGGAGTAGTTTGCCTACACAATTTGTTAGAAGCAAATTGTAACTGCCTCCACAAGGCAAGCTTGGGCAGTTATAATTCACATTCTCTTCGTTATTAACTGCAAACCGGCAAAGGGCACATCTGGAATTATCAAAATTTCTCTGTTTCCCGCCATTTCTCTCTCAAACCCTCGAGCATGAGATCACCACTACCACCGCTCCTCCGCCCCTCATGGCCATCCTCCTAGCCTTGACGCTCGCCATTCTCGGGGCTGAAGCAGCAGAACCACCGCCGCCGCTACCTAGTTGCGCTGACCAGCTCGTGAGATTCTCTCCGTGCCTGCCGTACGTGTCCTCTCCGCCGAACAACCTCTCCGACTCGCCCCCACCCAAGTGCTGTGACGCGTTCTCGCTGTCGATGGAGTCCGGCGGCGCTCTTTGCCTCTGCTACCTGGTCCAGGATCCTCCCATGCTCGGGTTTCCGTTGAACCGGAGTCGCGTTCTGTCTCTGTCTTCCACTTGCCCTCTCAGAGATATTTCCACAAACACAAGCAGTGCACAATCTTTGGAATCGCTCTGCTCAGGTTCTTGAATTTTCTTGAACATTTTCTTCTGCCCAATTTAGGGTTTTATACCGATTCATAAATTCCCAATCTTTTAACATCTTGACGCCATGAATGCGAACTTTTAAAAAATTTTGTTCTGAAAATTCTGATCGTATGGCTTAACTGCAACAGGATCGCCAGAACTCCCTCCTCTCCGCAGCTCAACAATTTCAGAAGTTTCTCCTCCTGGTAATTAGTCTCAATTACTCCATGATTTTCTTGGATTTTTACCTTCAAAAATGTATTTATTATTTAATAATATTATTAATTGTCTTTGAAGTGCATTGAGATTCAAGAGGGATGCTACAGGTTAATCTTGGCTAATTAAGAAAAACCCTAAAAACCCCATTTGCCACTTTTCTAATTTCACTTCTAAAATGCAATGCAGAAACCTTTGATTTTGTAAAAACCCTAAAAAAACCCATTCTTATTATTATTTTGCAGGTTCTGAGTCTGTTGACAATGCTTCATCTCCTCTCATGAGCTTAGCACCAGAATCAGCAAACACTACAAGCATTCCACCGGGAAACAGATCGCCGACTCCACCAAGCTCAGTGGTATATCCGGCAAGGGTTTCTGCAGCAGTGAAGCAAATTCACAAAAGGAACGCTTGGTTTCTACCTGCACTACTGAGTTTCCTTGTTTCCATGTTCATCTGACGCTTCCTACATTCATTGAGATTCTAGATGAAAATTCCACCGCCCTTTCGGCCTTTCGCATACTGACTTCATCAGGAAAGCTTGTGTAGTTACCCTGTCACATTGGCATTCACGAAAAATGTACATTCACATATAAATTTCTGCCTAATTTTGAGATGACAACCTGTGATAGTTGAGCAATGAAATGTAATGAAATTCACTAACATGTACGTTTCATCTGCATAACTTATAAAATAAACTTTTGTCTTTCACACAAACACAACGAACTAAATGCAGTCCTACTTGAAACTGGCATCACAAGACACGCTGGAATAGTGCCGTAGATTAATGGCACGTAAAATAAAATAAAAAAGTTAAAAGGAAATTATAGTTCTGGCGAGCATCCATGAATTCATAGTATATGAAGAAAATAAACTTCTGCTCCAATTTATATGTTCCAATCAGACCATTCAGCTTCACCAACCCCAGCAGGCTGGGGGACTTCTGTTTGCAAGAATTCTTCCGGCTGCCCATCATCTATAGAGAAAGATGTATCTTCATCATCTTCCTGTCTCTCAGGGGGACTACAACCCTGATAGGATGAGTTGTCAGCACAACGCCAAAGCAGCTTGTTCCAGTTCCGGTCCTGCCAAAACCAATCAACTGAAATCATAAGAAAACAATCCTAGGATTGCACACACACACACACACACACCGGTAGGAAGATAATGTCATGTAACCTGCTGTAAGACAAAGGAACATACCTTGGTGATGATGTGCGGGTTACCAATTACAATTAGCAAAGCTTTAGCACGAGTAATAGCCACATTAAACCTTTTTGGGTTGCTCAAAAATCCCAAGCAGTACGTTTTGTCAAACTCATTGTGTTTGATTGTTGATCGGACAGTTGATATTATAATAACTTGCCTCTCCTGTCCCTGGAATTGCTCCACACTTCCAATCTTGATATTAGGCATGCTCTCATTCTCGAAAGCTTTCTTCAGTTTTAGCACTTGCTGCCGATAAGGTGTTATGATCCCAATATCTTCCTCGCTCAAATTCCTTTGTGCAGTCAACCGCTTAGTGATCTCTACTACCTTGCTTGCCTCAGTCCGATTAAACCATGATGGATTACACCCTTCCCTCTCATCACAGCCTTGGATACCAAAGAAAAGAACAGGGAAATCCTTGTTAGGAAGAAGGTCCACCCTTGCCATGAAGGAAACTGAGTCATCCTTGCAAGCAATCAACTCTCGTCCATAGAACAGCTCATTAGGGAGATGCAAAATTTCCGGGTGAGATCGATAGTTTTTAACCAACTTTGTTACATAATTTCTGTCCCCATTTCTATAAAAATCACATTCGTACAACCTCTCTAAGTATGATTTCCCTAAACCAAAGGTTTCTGCTTCTCTGGAGTTTATGATTGGACCTAATTGCATCGGGTCACCAGCAAGAACAACTACTGTATTCTGTTTATAGAGACTCGATATCGGGATCATGGTCTCTGGTTCTGAAGCTTGGCCTGCCTCGTCCAAGATAATATGAGAGAAGTAGCCTCGACGGACACCTTCAGCATAAATCAAGGAGGCGCTTGTATAGGTGCATATGATGATCCGATATCTCAAGAGGGCATTGAGTTCAGGACAGGTGAAGGCATCATCATCATAGAAGCAGTAGTCAATAAGGTCGGGATTGACATCTTCATAAGGGCGGGAAGATGCATTGAGCCTCAATATATCAAACTCTTGAACTACGACATCAGCATTTGCATTGAGCAGTTTCTCCAGAATGTGGTCTGCTGCGCTATTTGAAGGAGCACAAACAAGGATTCGATCTCTCTTCCGGGTTGTGTAGAGTTGCAGGATTGTTTCAACTAATGTCATAGTCTTACCTGTTCCAGGAGGGCCGTAAATTACATAAGGTGGCCCTCCTTTGCAGCCAAGGATCATCTCAACTGAGCGCCTCTGCTCCTCATTAAGGGTACACGATATAGGCACCATTCGCATGGCTCTAATCATCCTTCTTTGAGTGGACTCAGATGGAAAAAGGAACCCTACATCTAAATCTTCTGTAGCATCAACAGCTTGATATAACCTTCTCATGCTGATTCGATTATATGTGAATTGTACCTTATAAAGGTTACCGTCTCTATGATGTGAATGAAATTCTGGGGCAAACTTCAAGTAAACATCATCAGCCTCGACACGGTAGATATGACCCTGAACAGAACAAATTAAATATTTTGAAAGATAAGTTACATATTCTGGATATTAAAATAACACGGAAACATTTTACCAACGACTAAAAAATCCCAAACACATGAATTAGCCAACAGCTTATGAAACAGAAGGCATATGCATGGATGAAATTCTCTTTCTTCATGGATGAACCCACCAATTGGTTTGGGACATAGCCATGAACGACCAACTTCTGCCAGACGCTAAACATTTCAATTATTTGGTTTAGCCAAAAATCACTCTAGATGACAACTTTAAGAACATGAAACAATTATTAAATGTACCTTGGTAGAACTAAGCATTTACAAATAGATAGATGATTACGTAATTAATTTGAATAGCCACGCAATTCATCATACTAATATTAACAATCATAGAATTTAGTAACGGATTGGAGGTTTGGTCTTGAAGATAAGTTTTTGGTTTAGGAAACAACCTTATATGGAAGGCTTCTCTCATCTTCATACTCAAGCTTGGCAAAAACATAATCCCCTTGAACAAGTGAAGGCCTTCTCTCAGCAAGCCCTGGCACTTCAAGGGACAAATATTGCTGTCCCCTCTTCCTCAAAGGAACGCCTTCCATATCATAACTTCTCATGCTTTCCTGAAGCAATCACAAAATTAAGCACAAATCACAAACAACTTCATAGAGCGTTGTTTCAAAATGAAGAGCTTACCTCTAGTGCTATTTCCTCCATGATGAGTAAATTTTTGAAGAAATGTTGATAGTTCCCTCTTGTAAGACCTTCAGTCACAACAGATGGAATCTGCCCACTCTCAATCAAGCTTCTGATGTCCTTTGGAATGTCATATCGAGGAAGCCTATTTTTGTACATTCGATATGTTTTTCTACTCGGACGTACAGACCCATGATGAGATTCCACATTAAGAGGTTTCTTTTTAATGCCTCTTGTGTATGGCCTTATAGAGGCTAAAGACTGGGATATCTTATCTTCTGCCAATAGAAAGACAACACGTTCAATCACGTCCGCCTCAAGATCAAAATGCACAATTGAGGTGTGCACTCCAATTTCCTTGGGCTTGCACGATAGCCATACAGTCAGAGTATCTCCTGGATGCAGCACTCTGTCCTCCAGGGAAGTACACTCAAGGAAGGCTTGGATGGTTTCCAAATCAGAGTCGGCAGTTGGAGGTTCCATCAGAGAAAGCTTGAATGAGTCCTCTGGATTCGACGCATATATTGTAACACCCCACTCCACTGGATCAGTGGTGGTGTTCTTCAGAGTTATCTTATCCATAGCTGTTTCTCCTACAACTACTGATTGAGGCTTTCCACCTTGCTTTCCATCCACAAAAGGGAATGGAACTGAAACAATAATTGGACCCTCTTCATTAGGATTGTAATTACGCACCGATTTATCATGATCGAAATCTATGTATCGGATTTCTCCCTTGTCTCCAATTACAGAGCGTTCTTCATCATCCCACTTATCACCAACTGAATCCATCACCAAACACAGCCTAGCAAGAACAACAGACTGAATTTCAAATAGGAAACTACATTACAGGTAGATAAATGAGAACTACCACAACTCCAATTCGCTACAAAGTAATTGTTTTTAGTTTATTGGGAACCGAAAACCAAAATTTGAAAATTCACATAAGTAGCATTCGGATTTTGGTTTTCATTGAAAACTTGTTTGGTAAAAAGGTGTAAACAAAAACTGAAAACGAAATGGTTCTCAAACGTCCGTTAGATAACCTACATGGTTCTCAAACGTCCGTTAGTAAACCTACATTGAAGCAAAAAAGTGGGGAAAACGGGGGACAATGAACAATGGCATACAAGCTCCACCAACAAAAACCAGCACAACAACAATCAGGGAAAACACAGAATACAAATTACCAACAAAATCAATCAAATCAGACATCAATATCCAAAACCCATACGCGAATTAAAGTCCAAATTTCGACATAAATTAAGCAGAATCGGGCAGAAATCGTTAAAAATAAGATTAAAAAAGAATAAGAAAAAAAGATGAGGAATTTGGTTAAGAGACGAACCTGTGAAGAGATATGAGGAGGCGGCCAACGAGAGAGATGATTGCCCAGAACCCACCGCCGATCAAACGAAAACAACCCAAAAGATTAGATTTTTTTACAGAGAAACGAAGAATCTGGAAAAGGGTTCAATGCAGTTCCATCCAATTTTGAACCGAGAAAAGAGAAAAAATGGTTGGAACCTGGAAACAAGTGTGCACGGAAGAGTGAGAGAGTGACAGAGTGAATGGTCACGGAAAAAACGAAGTACTAATCCTCTTAAACTTCCTCGTTAAGTTTACTAAAGGAACTTTAAAAGCTTCTGGTACTGTTTATTTTAACGATAAATCATATTTTTATACTAAAAAGTCAATCCTGGTACTATTTACTTTACCTTTTATTTTGTCCTTATCATTAAAATTCAAAATTTTCAAACCTTTCAAATCATTTTCATTAGTTTTCAATGATTACTTATTACCCACTTTGTCTACTGATTTCAGTACGATGGATTCCCTTTCTTGTTCAATAATGCACTGCCGTCTGGAGAAATACCTCTTATTTGATGATAATATCGCGTGTATTTCATTTAAATCCTTCGCGTTATCGTTTGAAGATTTTCTATATGCTAAATTTTTTTTTTATTAGATTATTGATCGAGAATTTATTGATCAAATTTAATAGCCAAATTTTTGATATATTGAATACGCTGAAGCATAATATATTCAATGTATCAATTACATCGAATCTCGATAAAAAAAAAAACAAAGAAGGTAGTTTTTGGTGACAAACAACAAAACAAATTAACCTGCACTAATGATTCGTGATTACTTAAGTGGCATTTTCATTTTGGGATTAATCTTCTTAAGCTTCCCCATTATCACTAAAATGGTTACTTTGTGACCCTTTCCCCTATGGACTATTAAGTATCATGGTCATTGGATTCCACTGCTGCCCAA